GTGTAGTCCTCAGATGAGCCCTCCTCTTTGGGATTTGATATCACAATGACTTAATGGACAAGAATTTCACTTGAGTCAAAACTTGTTTCACAGGTTTTTCTGAAGCTGATGTATTTTTGTGCACAGCAGTGAGAAATGTACTTTGCAAACGCAAAAAAAAAGCAGTTTGTTCTGCACATTCCTGGAAAAAGTGAGACGTCCACTTTTTGTAATTACAGCTTGATGTTTGTTTTGTTGAGTGGCAGCAGGATGTGACTTTTTTTACTATAGTTCATGATTCCATTTGAAGTGTAAATGAGTAATTTCACTCTTATTTAAAGTAGCTTGAACAAACTCCATCAGGGTAGTTTACATCTCAGCAAACGCTACAAGCTCACAGACCCTTCTCTGCCGTTGCGCTCTCTGTAGTGTTTGTGGTAAATACATAATATAATAAAATTATTATTAATGACAATAAGGCAGCAACCCATGAATACGTCCACTTCTTCCTCTTCCACTGATACTCTTCCTGCAGCTTTCTGTAGTTTGCTTTCACCTCCTCCAGGTTCTGTTTTTGCTCCTGATGACATCGCTCCCAGATCTCCTTTCTTTCTTTGCTCCAAGCCTCTCGCTCTTTCTTCATCTCTCTCCTGTGCTGCTCCAGCTTCTTCTCAGCTGCTTCCTTTTGTTCTCTTTCTGACTGAACTCTCACTTCTTCTTGTTTTTTCTGTCTCTTCGTCTCCTCCTCTCGTTCTCTCTTTCGCTCTTTGCGCTCCTTGTTGATGGATTCATCTTTTTCCTTCAGCTCATTTGCTCTCCGTTTTCTCTCCTCTTCAATCTGTCCTGTCTGCTCACTGATTTTCATGCGCAGAGCTTTCAACTCTTCCTCGTGTTTTTTCTTGAGGTCCTCGTCTCTCCTCTTCATCTCTTCATCCTTCTCTTTCAAAACTCTCTCCACGTCTGTCTGTGGGACTTCCTTTGTGTCGTCACTCATCTCACTGATTTTACGTTCTCTCGCTCTTCTCTGTTTTCCATCAGCACCTCCCACCTCACTCCTCTGTTCAGCTGGAAGCTTCCTCACCATCTCAGTCAGACCCTTGATGACTGTGTCCTTGGAGAAGCACCCGAACTCTTTAACTATCATCTTTTCCACAGTATCTAACAGCTGTGGGATCTGCCGTTTCTCTTTGATGTTGAGAACAACAGATCTTCCTCCACAGCTCTCACAGAGCTCCTGGATGTCTTCATTATCCTTTACAAAGTTACCAACAGCTCGATCTGTAGGATCTGAGTCCACAATGAACAGAATCATGGTGAAGTCATTGACTCGAGAGCTGAATGTGTTCTGGATGGTCTCTAACTCTCCCTTGTCTTCATCAGTGAGGGGAGCCACAGGTAGGACCAGGATGAAGGCATGGACACCCTCAGGATCACAGAGGGAGATACACCTGAGTGATTCCTCCATCACTGCCTCCTGAGGTTTTCCATACAAGGCAGGCAGCTCCACCAGGGAAACCCAACGTCCACACACCTCTCCCTGATGTTTAACACACTCTGATGAGTTGGAGACTGAATGAAGCTCAGTCTGACCTAAAATGGCCTTGGCTGCTGACGTCTTCCCTGCTCCTCTCCTCCCACACAGAACCAGGTTTAAAACACACTTTGGTCTCATGAATAATCCGCCATCCTCATCCTCAAATACATCACAGCTCAGATGATCTTCATTTATCTCCTTTGCTGTTTGAATCAAACGTGTTAACAGCTCTGAACGTTCAATGCTCTTCTGCCACAGGTATCTGTAGCTGCACATTCTGATAATTTCTTTTAGCGGTGGATGAGTCATACAGTTTTCAAATGAGCTCTCTTCTCTGGATGTTGACATGAAAATTAGTGAATGGTCAAATGATCGATCACTGAACAGTTGAAGGGCTCTGCAGAGCCTCTGTTTTTGCTCCTCAGTGAAGTCTTCAGGCTGTAGAACCAGCAGGAACACATTAGGTCCAGGATCAGAGAGCCTCACACAGTTGTTCACATGTTCCTTCAATTTGTCCTGAGAGATGTTTGGAAGCAGCAGATCTGGAGTGTTGATGAGAACTAGGTTCTTCTCCTTCAGTGGTCTACTTGTCTTACAGCAGTCCGGCTCCTCGGTGCTGAACTCATTCTCTCCCAGTATGAAGTTCCCCACGTTTCTCCTCAAAGAACAGCTGTTCCCCAGCAGAACAACCCTCAGCTCAGACACTGAAAAGATAAAAACTAAATTAGATCTACACATCAGGCATTCAGAGAAATTAAATTGTTGACATGCAGTGAGGAAAACAGAGGTTTTTATGCTTTCTCCTGTGAGGATGGGGACACTTAACTTTAGTCTACATCTAAACTAATGCATGGCCTGAGTCAGGTGTTCCTCCTTTCCTTTCGTAATGCTATGATTCCTGTTTAATGAAGCTTGCGTTTCATGAGGTGTTTCTCTGAGTGGGTTGTGTGCTAGTGCAGAGGCTAAAGACAAAGTGAATTTTCTACAGAATGTGTCAGGCATGAGTTACAGTTACATGGTAACTCTAAAGTTTATGAGATTACGTAGAGTCCACTGATTATGTTGGAACATGACAGGAAAAAGCTGCAAAAATGCAGCAACAGATTCAGAAAAAGGTTGAAATGGAAAAAGCTGGAACACAAAGACTAAAGGCTAAAGCTACACTGACACCTGACTGTGGGGGTCAGCCAGTCAGATACAGGACTGTGTGAGGAACATGATTTGGACAGATGAAGATCAGATGATGGAGAAAGTTTGGAAAATTCTACAGATCTAACAGAGCAGGGGGCACGGATAGAAAGAAGTCAATGTGAGAGTCTGAACTTTGCATCCTGAATGGTAAAATAACCGTAAACACCATAACTGCAGTTTAACTCACTGGAAGGTTTTATGTCGGGGTTGCTGCTGCTGTGTCTGAGGGGTTGAAGGTTTCCTGTAATAAAACAAAACAATGATGATGTCACACACAGACGCATTCATAAATAACTGCCATCGACACATGAGACCTCTTTCTAGTGAATCTTTTCTTTGTGTCAGTATTTGATCCTGTGTTTGATGCCTTGACTCATATGTGGTGGCTTTTTTTCTTTCTCAGTATTAGATGTTAGCAGTGCTCTGTAAATCTGTTACATTTGGTCTCAAACATTTAGGCTTTCTCCAGCTAAA